AATATGAAAGCCACTCAGGGTGGGGTACTGTGATCATGATTGGAACATCATAGTGTTAAATTTCTATAAAGAAGAAGTAATGTTACATCAGAAAATCTTGAAATGTATCCATGGAGATGGTAGATGGCTAATATGAAATCTATGTGACCTTATATCAGTCACTGAATTTCTCTAGAATAAAATTCCTCCCTGTCTGAAATAATAGTTTTATATCTTTGGTAGGTAGTCTCAAAACAAAAACAAAGAAGACAGAAAATTTGAGTCATTTTCAAATAACAGAGGGAAAGAAAATGAAGGGGGAAAAAAAGATAAAATGAAGACAGTAGCCTAAAATCTGGACTTTATACTATAAGTAACTTTAAACGATTTTGTTAGTCATCAAAAACCCATTGTAGTAATAAAAATAATCATTTAATGTTTTCCTTTAGCTATCCCCCCCACACACATATACACACATGGTAAAATTATGGTAGAGTTAGTATATTATTATTTCCCAGAATATTTTAGAGACTAGACATATTTAGGGTATATGGAGGGGGTGTTAGTCAACAGACAAAGGGACCAAATAATTCCACTCCTAATGCTAGCTCTAGAATAAGTTCAGAGTAAAGAAAATATTTTCAAAAGGGTAATTACATGTAAGTAAAACCAAAATGGAAGTAATGGAGATTTGATATCCAGTCTTCATTTGATGTTCTCTAGTTTAGCTCTTATTAGTCTAATATCAGAGTCACAGGGCAAGAGGAATTCACCATTACATAATCATTTCCTGCAGTTCACTAGTTTTAATTATACCTACAATAAGTAGAATAAGAGGAACACAGGTGGATGAATTGATCCAGTAAATGAATATACTGTATGGACAGCCAGTAGAATCTGAGTGCAATGAACCAAAAATGTAAATTATTGTCTAAACCCATTTTTTATTTGTTTGTTTTTGGAAGGTTGGTATCAGAGGGACTTTTTGCTTATTATTCCTGCCCTATGAATTTAGAACTCTTAGAAACAAGAGAAGTACTTAACTGATTTTATTTTCAAGCTTGAAATTCTACTTTTTACACAAATTTAATTTTTATAGATACTTCTATGATTTTCCTTTTTGGTCAGCTATATTTTATTGGAAAGTTGAACCAAGAGAGAAAATGATAGAGAGATGGGCACATGGGCCAACACTTGGAGTTAAAAAATGAACAATGGTGTGAATAACACCCAAAACCTAGAGTAATTACAAGAAAATTTTCACTTGGCTTGTGAATATACTCACTGAGTTGTAGAGAATAGATTTACTTCTCTAATTACTCTATGTTGTACTTGGGCCAATACTGAAATGATTTTACCTTCCCTAAGCACATACCAACTATTGGGGTGAGAAGGGAACCATAAATATACTGGATGCAGAAACAAAAATTAATTTGCACATATAATCTCCAATGCAAAATGCTGTCCTTAGAGCTTTATCTTCATTATGACAAATTCAGTCAATGTCTTCAATTCGGATTCATCTTCAGAATTAAAAAGAATTCTTTAAAAAGGAAAATCACATTGAGTTTTCTTCTTACTGAATTTGTTCCAGTAAAAGACATCTGATTTCAACCACATACAGATGCAGAGATGGTCAAAGGAAGAGTGAATTTAACTGCCAAGTGCTATAAAATTGTTGATAATTTTTTTAATCTATAAGAAAGAAATTAAAACTGAAGTGCATCATATTTGCCATAACTGAATATATGTAAATTATTACATACTAAGAAAGAAGATCAATGTCAAAAGAGAAATGCAGACAAATAAAGCAAGGAGAAAAAGAAAATACATATATTAAGCTACTATATATCCAGAATTCATTATGTATTGTGTTCAGTGTAGATCAAGAAATGTGTCATAGTATTTAAAAATCAAAGTAATGCAAGTCTTAGAGTTGCTAATTTCTTTATTTTTATTTCATTGGTTCTTTTTAATCATACATAATAGTAGGATCCATTCTTATATAGTTATACAAGAAAAAATTCAATCTCCAAAAACCAAAGGTTGAATGTTTTCTCTGATATGTGGACGAGGGGAAGAATATGATCATGCATTCCCTGAGCACATACCAAATGTTGGGGTGAGGAGGAACCCATAAACATACTGGATGCAGAAAGGAAAATTATTTTTACACATAATCTCCAATGCCAAATGCTGTCCATGTAGCTTGGAGTTCAGAGTTGCTAATTTATGAATAAGTTGAGGCTTGCAGAGTTTGAGAAACCTACTGTAATAAGATACAGAATTAGAAAAGTAAAAGCTTTCAGATTTGGATCTAGACATATCTGTTTATAAAGCCATGCTTCCCTAACTTCTGCTCTATCTCCCCCAACACTGCTGACCTCCTTAGGTCTTGTCTATGGTTGGTAACAGGATGTGGCTGGTCTGGGCTACTGACCAATGGAACAAAGCAATTATTGCTCAACTGTTTCTTCATAGCAAGCTTCTGGACAAAGACTGGGTCTAGAGATGATCCTTTAAAAAAAGAAATAAAAGAAACACAAAGAAGAATGACTTTATGACTTTTGCCAGTAAATAGATGAACCTGGAGAATATCATGCTAAATAAAACAACCCAATCCCCCAAATCAAAGATTGAATGTTTTCACTGATATGGGGAACCTAAAATACAGTAAAGGGGTAGGAGAAGAACAGAAGTTCAATGGATTGCACAAAAGGGAATAAAAGGAAGGGAGGAGAAGAGGGATAGGAAAGACAATTAACTAAATCTAACATAATTTTTCTGTGTACATATATAAATATACCTAAGTGAATCCCATCATGTGTACATCCATAAGAATGGGGTTCTAATTAGAATAAGATGTATTCATGCTTATAAAATTTTATCAAAATGGAGTTTACTATCATGTATAACTAAAAAGAACCAATTAAAAATAACAAAACAAAACAGGAGATAGTGTTTTTTCTTGTTATCCTGAGAACTCTCCTTATCAAAGAGGTAGAACAGCCCAAATCTCAAATATTACATCTTGAATCCTGAAGCTACAATTTGAAAAACCTTCTTAAAATTTAGTACTGTTTCTGTTAGCTTTATTTTTTTCAAAATATAGAGTGCTATAATACATAGATTTCTTGGGAACATTTGATTTATGTGAATTTTTTTTAGGTAAAACCAGAGCTGAAGAGAACTCAAAGCTCTGTGGTACCATCATGGAATAGGCCTGGTCTCATAAAGAGGTTAACATTGTTGATCAGAGTTGAGTTTCCTCCAAGCCCAAATGAGTAATTGTACTAGATTAGTTTTAGGATTCTTTCTAGTTATAAAATTCAGTAACTGTACCCACCCTCATTCATAGCCACAATAATTCATACTTTTGATTGTCTTTCAAACATCAGTCTCTCTGATGCCTTGGTGACCAATCATCTAGCTAATTAATGGATGCCCAGATCAAAAGAGTAACAGAGAAAGGAAGAAGCCGCTTCCAGTTTCTCTGTCATCACCTAACATGGAGGGGCTAAGGATTTAGTTATACTGTGATTATAAAGGGATCACTGGTCTCTATTTTAATTGATGTTTGCATGCCCTGAATCTGCTCTAATGCACTCAGCTGACCTACTTATTTGGGGGATATATAAATTTCTTGATTCTCCCCCTTTATTCAAGTTTCATTGATCTTGTCATGTGTATCAGAACCCTGGGAAAAGAGAGTTTGATCCAGATCAAAGGTACTTAAACCCTAAGCCAGAAACTTCAAAGTAAAAAAAGAAAGTCTTAAATGGAAATATATATGCTTTGCAACTTGCTTCCTTTTACTTTTCTATTTCTGTTTCTATCTTATAGCTCCCCTCTTAAATATGTTCTATAGTGGGCAATATGGTGAACATATCTGTTTCTCCTTCATCAGACTATAGGTTTGTGAAGGAGAAGACGTTATTCATCTTTTTTCTCCATGGCCAAGGGCTGACTTGAGCATGTAATTAAAAATTCAGTAAGTACTTGTCCAACAAAATACATCAAGGAGTTGAAATTTGTTCTTTATATAGTTTGTTTAAAACAGATATTTGATTTTTGGAATTCAAAGAAAACATGATAATATAAATACAATTTGTTTATTTCCTTAAAAAACTAACATTTAAATAAGATATGTACTACCAAAGTCATATATTTTCTTATTTTAACAGATAGGAAATTTGAAGATGTCAAACTACCATATGATCTTGAATAAAGACTATACGGTTCAAGTCACCTTGAATATAGGTACAGCAATATGATTAACTTCTAGCCAATAATATATGAGTAAAAAATGTTGTGCATAACTTCTAGAAAAGCTTTTCAAAAGACCTGACCCAGCTTGGAGGAATTACCTTCTTACCTTTCC